TACAAATTCCTTTAATTTTTTTGTGTGAATTCATTTAACTAATAAAAAAAATGAATTATTCAAATTTCTTAACAATATTTATTCAATATACGTTTAGTGATGATATACTGATTTAAATAAAATGGACTATTAAAATAACATTTTTAATTTGGCATTCCTCACTTTCTTCCAATTAAATTATTTTTCTATGGCCTTCGGCTCGTGTGACAAACTTTTCACTCGTGCGGAATATGCCGTAAAGGCCCCATTTTCAGTCAGCTGTAAATCTTAGTAAATATTTGGTTTTCATAAAAATAAATATCTCAATCCTGGTTTATAGGTATGGGTTAAGCAAATAACTGATTTACTAAATAACCGGATTTGATTATTAGAATAATCGAGTTTAACCGAACCCGATTTTTCTGTAACCGATTAATCGGTTTCGCTTTTTACGGTTTTTGCAAGCCCTGCTATCCATGTATAATATACATTGTATATCATACAATTTTTACAGGCTGTCCCAAAAATGGTGTACAGTATACAAAAATTATGTTTTTTTTTCGAAAAGTTGTTTTATAGTTTAGTGTTTAAGATATTACTTTTATTTTTGATATTTTACCTGTTGTTTAGTTAGTATTTTCATTAAAGTTGTTTTTGTTTCTACAAAAACTCGTTATTAAATATCAGTAAGGTAATTTATCTTTTAGTTTCGGTGGTAAAGGATGACAATTTGGTGCGCTACAAGTCAAAAACAGTGGGTGCTTTTAAGTTGTCGTAAAGAAATATTAATAAGCGTTTAATATGCCGGCAAAGTGCCTGGCAGAATACAAAAGCATATGTTTAGTTACCTCAACTTTTATGCTTTTTATTTTTTTTCTTTCCGATAAAACGTAAATTACAGAAGTTAGCAGATATTTATTACCTGTACAACCATACAATGCTGAATAATTTATAAGGTGAGATCTGACAAACACAAATTTTAAAATCTTGTGGAATCTTTCTATTTAACTACTTAAATATTTTACGCTCAGAAACTGTTTTAGTAATCTCCGAGATAAATTGGTTCCTTTGTACAAAATTAAATTTAATTACTGGTGCATTCATAAATATCCAAACATTATAAAAAGAGTGTATTAACAAAAGATTGCTCGTTTATTTAACGTTTAAGCGCATTTACGATATTTTTTGTCAGCGGTAGACAACATATGTAATTTATAACTATTATAATACAGGACTTAAGAGTTACATAAAATAAATAATTATGTTTTTACTAGAAACTTCTTAGAAACCACCAATATTCTGGAAACACATTTACATTAAATTTAACTATGAAGCTATTATAACTATTAGCTTAATTATAATTTTATTGGATTATATTTATAAAGGATTTACCTACTTGATTTAAGAAAAAAAAACAGGTATTAAATTAATTTAAAAGTTTAAATTGTGACTGGGATAACAAGGGCTAAAATTTACTTTATTTACTGTCTGATAGTCAGAAGAATATTACACACCTAATTTAAATCTAATTAGGGGTCATCCATTAATTACGTGAGACATTTTTGAGGGTTAAGAGACCTACAAATAAATAAAAAACAAACAATTTGGGGCTATGATAAGAAAAAATTCTGGGTTATTCTGGCGGGTACAGCAGTCCTCAATTCGTCGTGCCCGCGAATGTATCAGAGTTCACGGAACCCATGTTGAACCCTCTTATAAAGTTTTTAATTCATTGTTTCGAATTATCGTCCTTCAATTTAAGGTTTGCAACAATACGTTATATTATTTTTTTATGCCCCTTTTTATTATAAATAAAACATGAATTCGTTTATTATTCTTTTTTTCAAAAACAGTTTATTTTATTGACAATAAACAAGAGTACCTTTATTTTAGTTTTAGGTTCAAGCTATGCAGATTTAGTTTTTTTAAGTCTTTGTCATACGGGGTGTTCAAAGTTTAAGCATTAAGAAGTTAAACTTAGTCTGCCCCTGGTAAACAAAAAAAGCAAAACATGTTTCAATTACACTATTTTAAGAGATCCTTCTCAGGGTCCATCATATTATATTTTTATTAAATTATATTTAGTACTTTTAAAGTTTGCAGGGGGGTCTTTTCGGGGCCCATATCTTCGTAAGGAGGGCCAGTAGGAAAAAAATGTATAGGAACGTGTCATCTTATTTTTTCATGTTCTATCTGAATCCTTTCCCACATTTTCCCGGACACCCTGTATAATCATCGAAAATTGTGTTTTTGGGTTTGTCCAACTCCCAAGTAACATGAAACATGAAAATTAAAATCCTTCATGTAGGGCATTTTAGATGGTGGCCCAAAAATATGTCAAAAGTTTGTAAGTTTTTCTAAACACTAAAAAAATTAAATTAAAAAAAACTTTTTTAAGGATAATCTGGAGGATAATAGAGCGTTTAATTTTAAATTAAAAGCGTCTTAAAAAGTTTTTTGTAGATACTATAGTTTTGTTCTAAAAAAAATCTGTTTTTCTTACTTCACGAAATAATACATATTAATCAAACCTAAAATACTAAATAAGTTTTGATATCTAAATCAATACACGTAATAATATGTGCTGGCTATTATATAGCAAATGCACCTTAACAATTTTTCTTTAAACGACTAAATTTCTTGGATTTAAATTAATTTTTTTGAAAAAATTGGTATAATTCTAGCTAGCCATGCAGGACTAGCGAAAACGCTCTGACACCTGACAAATAAAGATATGTCAAAGAAGCGTTACTTGGAAATGTTTGACATTTTTACTCTTGAAATTTATAGTACTATATCAATGACTTTCTGCCAAAGTATCGCAAGTAACATAACTGAAATTTCGGTAATGGAAAACATTTTTTGTTTTAAAGTCTGTTTTAAACCATATATAACCTAAAGGGTGATTTATTTAGAGGTACTTTTTTCATTAGAGATTTTATGGCAGATCAGGCGTGCGTTGTGTCAAACTGTCATGGTATTTTCATTAAGTATTGTTTGACATTTTATCATGGAAAGACTAAGCACGGTACAGCGTCTACAAATTATTCAACTGTATTACGAAAATCAGAGTTCTACGAGAAATGTATTTCGTGCGCTTAGAGAAACTTATGGTCCACATAATCGGCCTACCGAACGAACAATTCGCTGTACCATCCAAAAATTTGAAAGCCAATTTTCATTATTAGATAATAAGCGACCAAATAGACCACATCCAGCACGTAGTGAAGAAAATATAGCAGCGGGAGCTGAGAGTGTACGCGATGACCGTGATGAATCGATTCGGCGCCGTTCTCAACAGCTTGGCTTGTCATATGCAACAACTTGGCGTATTTTACGTAAGGATCTTGGTTTAAAAGCATACAAAATTCAACTCTTGCAAGATCTCAAACCGGCCGACCTTCCAAACCGTCACCGTTTCAGTCTTTGGGCTCTTGAAAAGCTTGAAGAAGATCCACTGTTTTCGACCAAAATTTTATTCAGCGATGAGGCCCATTTCTGGCTTAATGGCTACGTCAATAAGCAAAATTGCCGTATATGGGCTGAAGAGCAACCCGAAGAGGTTCAAGAGCTGCCATTACATCCAGACAAAACAACGGTTTGGTGTGGTTTATGGGCTGGTGGGATTATCGGTCCATATTTCTTCAAAAATGAGGCCGGCCGGAACGTAACTGTGACTGGCGCCCGTTATCGCGTCATGATAAGGGACTATTTGCTGCCTGAAATTGAAGCCCGTGATCTCGACAACATTTGGTTTCAACAAGACGGCGCTAGTTGCCACACAGCCCATGAAACCATGGCTTTATTGCGGGAACAATTTGGCGAACAGTTAATTTCCCGCTTTGGACCGGTGAATTTGCCGCCTAGGTCATGTGATATCACACCTCTGGACTTCTTTTTTTGGGGCTACGTAAAGTCCAAAGTCTACATGAATAAGCCCGCTACGATTGATGAATTGGAAGCCAACATTACTCGAGTTATTGGCCAAATACCACTTAAAATGCTGCAACGCGTCATCAAAAATTGGAATTTCAGAATGGACCATCTTAGCCGCAGTTACGGCCAACATTTAAAAGAAATAATCTTTAAAAAATAATTGTAAAGAACGGTTCTTTTTCGTGATAATATAGTTTACCTGATAAAATTTAATTTTGTTAGTTTTTTTTTTATTTTTTAAAAAAGTATCTTTTAATGAATCACCCATTATAGGTTTTATAACAAGTAAATAGCTATAATTATAAGCTATTTACCTGTTATAAATCCTTTAGGCTATATTTAATTTAAAACAGACTTTACTTTGGCAGAAACTCATCGATATATAGAATATAGTTTCACGTAATTGTTCTGTGTTCGGGTAAGATGCCAGAAAAAAAAAGATCACAATGGTAATCGAAAAATGGTAGGTATGTTATGCATGTTTTAACAAAGCAGTTAGAAACTATAATATCACTGAAAAAATAAAGCAACGTCTTGAAACTATTTCGCCTAGTTTTGACGAGGATAATAAGAGTATTCCGTTAGTACTTTATAGACTTGTTATATAAAACTGATGACAAATAGATTCACAACTATTTTTGTCTATGCAAAAATGAAAATTTAATGAGAAATGCGTTTGTCATATTTGCCAAGTGACGCGTTTTCGCGGCCATCCTAAAATGAAATATCTACCGTTTCCATTTGAGGCTAAAAAAAATCTGTAGGTAGACCTTCAAAAAAAAACAAATAAAACTAAAAGAAAGTTGCAAAATATGCATAAAATTCAATTGTAAATTGGAAAAGGCAGAAGGCATGAATGTACGAAAGCAAAGAAAATTGAAAATTGGTAGAAGGCTGTAAGCAAGAGGTCGCAACTAAAGTTCTGGAAGAACAAGAATGTGCCCAGGGAAGTTCTTTCGTATCATTAAATAAGGGACGCTGTACAATTAAAACGAAAATCTGATCAATGTCATAAAGCTGCTGTAACTCTTCAAGATTTAAGTAATATGCAACAAGATTGCAATTTATCACAAAACTCATTAAAGAAAATATGTGGTTACGTGCGCAGGACAAACAGAACTCTAATGAAACCTTTGGCTTTGCAGAAATTGCAGTCTCATAGTCATCTGCTGGATAGCTTTTTTTCAACCACAGACTTGCCCAATATTAAATGCTCAAAACATGATGACACTTCCTCTTTGATATATTGCACCGATCTTTCAGGACTTGTAACATACATTTTAAATGCCAGGCAATTAGACGATGATTTTTATTTAAAAATGGGCCTAGGCAGTGGCGATAATTCTTTAAAAATGTGCTTAACCATACTGCCGGAAAATGACCCAGAATAATATCGAGAATATAAAAGTGCAGGTATAAAAAGTTACTAATAATTGGTTTAGGACCAAACTTTAAGGAAAATTATGACAACGTCAAAATTTTCATTCACATTCTGCACATAGCATCTGTGGAATCTGTTCATATAGTTTTGAGTCCGATCCGAAATTAATCATGGTACTTCTGGGCCTGCAAACAAATGCGTCATGCCATCCTTGTCCATAATGCGACATCAACTCCAAGGAGCTGCAAAATAAAGGAAATCCGAGGACGATCAAGAACATCAACGATCAACGAATTTTATGGCAATAAGCTACTGTAGGAAAATTTTCTATAGCAAAGTATTTTGGTGAGTTTTGATTTTCACTGAATGTTTACGTAAGAATGGGTTGCGGAAGAGTTCATGCAATGAGCACCTAAAATTTTTAGGAAACTGCGTAAATATGCCGCTAATTATCGGAGATGAAAACAAGCCATTGTTAAACTATATTCCCCCTCCAGAATTGCACCTTCTTTTGGAAGTGGTTTAAGAAATGTTCGAAGGTTTAAAAATTGAATGTCCAGTTGCAGCTGAAGAATAGGTGAAAGAGTTGGCATAAGATTCGACCATTATGAAAAATTTAATGGCAAGAACGCGAGAAAGCTGCTCAAACAAGTTGATATTCTAGAGGTTTGTACACATACCCTTTCCCATATTGAAATTCTACATATATATTCGTCTTTAATGTATTAAAGTTTATACATTTGGTTTTAGGAAACAAATACCTCAATTTGTTTAAGTATTTTGACGAAGTAGTTTCCAGTTGCTTTGGGTAAACTCCAAGTATAAGTTATGCCGAAAATATTCAACGTTTGGCAGTAGAACTATCTAAAGTCGGAGTAAGGTACACACCAAAAATGCATGCCCTAGTTCATCCTGTTCCAGAGTTCATTGAAATCAACGAGCACTTGGCTTTTTTTCTGAAAAAGCGTCAGAACAAGTGCATCACTCTTTTAAGACGTTTTCAAAAAAAATTAATTTAAATTCAAGGAATTTGCAGTCCTTTAAAGAAAAACTGTTAAGGAGTATTTGTTATTATAATAGCCAGCACATATTATTACATGTATTTATTTAGACCTTAAAACCTATTAAGTTAATTAAATTTGATTAATTTAATATGTATAATTTTGTGTAAAAAAAATCAGACATTTTTTATAACAAAACTATAGGGTCTACAGAAGACTTTATAATACGTTTTTTACTCAGAATTAAACGCTTTATTATCCTAAAGTTTTTTTTAATTTAAATTTTTTAGTTTTTAGAAAAAATTCAAAAATTTTTACATATTTTTGGGCCACTATCTAGAATGCTATACATGAAGGATTTTAATTTCCATGTTTCCTGTTACTTGGAAGTCGGGCAAACCCGAAAACACTAGTTTTGATGATTATGTATTTTTTTTCTGAAATCGTCTATAAAATTAACCGTAAAAAGTAACCAAGATTAAAATTATTTATTAAAATAAATGTATTTACATAGGATTTCTTTATTTGGCCCCTTTAAAATTAAAAAATTCCACTTGCCATCTAAAACCATGTATGATATGCACGACATGCATGATATGTCTTATTTCTTCATTAAATGTATTCGTCGGATCTTTAGTTATAATTGAATATTTATCTGCTGTAAGGAAATCAAGACTTTTTTCTGTATAGTCTGTTTTATTAATTGCGATTACTGTTTTTCCCTTTATCTGCTCTAGTAAAAATTATATCTTTGCTTTTTGCTTTGATAGATTTGGTTGTGTAAGGTCTTATTATTTTATTTCAGAAGCTAATGATTTTAATTTTTTATTACTTTCAATTTTATTTACCAAGGTTTTCAAGATTTTTTTTGTGAAATGACTGGTTTAATTGATCTATTAGAAAATCTAAGGGATTATCGATGCTTCGTTCAGTTGAACTCAATAAGGAAATTATTTTAAGTTATTGTAGGGAACAATGACGAAACACCATTTGTTTAATCAGCCTGGTAACATTTAGAATGTCGATAAAAGTGAAGTTTAGCTAAATAATAAACCAGGACAAATTGTAGCTATTGAAGGTTCTAAAATGTGCCCACAATAACTTCGGGTAAAAAGGGAGAGACTATTTTAGTTCATTCTTACCTCCGTATTGCATTATTAAAAAAAAATATATTGCATATATGCATAGAAAGGTGGAAAGCCACCAGGTTCCGTTATAAAAATGGCACAGAAATTGCATATGCAAACACAGAAATATATTTTGACTGGTTAAAATATCGTTTCGTGCCTCGCAAGCCAAGCCAACATAAAACTTCATTAATTTAAGGTCGGCACACCTCCCACTGCAACTGAGTTGATATGTTAGAGTCCGCTGAACAGCAGAACATTATTCTTCTATGCCTTGAAGGCATTGCCTTCCCAATACAACGCACTACTTACAGCCCTTAGACCGAAAAAGTCGCGTATAAGTTATTATTGTCGAGGCTTTTGGAATATCTGGAAAAGGAATTTTTAATATTATCAAATCAAAATGGTTTCAGACCAAAGCGCTCCACCAATACCGCTTTAAACCAGGCTCTTGATGACATCTATAAATCCCTTAATAACAAAACTCGAAACACTTGAAAAAATGTCTAAAATGGGCATACGTGGCCCAGCACTAAACTGGATTAAATCATACTTAATCTGTAGAACTGGTGATTGAAGGGTTTCGATAAAAAAAAATAAAGAAATCACAAGGGGCACTCCTCAGAGATCCTGTATATCAGACACCTTATTTAATTGATTTATTATTGGGCATTACATTGTCAGACAATCTAGGGTACCTACTGAAATTTTTTAATATATAATTTTATCATTTTAATTTTACAAAATATAAAAAAGTTAAAAATAAATAATAGGTATATTATGTATAAATTAAAATATTTACCCAGTAATATAATAAATATAATATAAATAATATCTAAGGGCCATTCCACGCGTAACGGATAGGACAGTTGCCGTGTTTTTATTTACAAAATAATATTGTTCTATTATATTACCAATGTCAAATTTTTATAAATAGTTCTAAACTAAAGCTGTTTAACAAGGTTTTTATTTGGCAAAATTAGGTATCGTGGTTGACTGTTTAATTCCTTAAAAACTAATAATTTAAAGCGTAACGGACGAGACTTTGTAATAGTCCCGTTCGTTACGCTAAAGTCTAAATAATCATAATGACTGAATTTTGTAAATTTATTATTAATATTATTTTAATTTTAAAAACAAATTGTAAAAAAGTTTAATTTAATAATAAATACCATGTATTTTATACATATTATTTGTAAATTAAAATATCCACCTAATAATACAATAAATATAATGTAAATAGTATCAAATATTTTACCTAATATTGTGACGACCCCTAAAATGTAATCTGTACTCTGAAAATAAAGTTATTATTATATTATTATTACAGTGCTTGTAAGAATTATATGACAAACCGACTTTAATTTGGAAAAAATTTAGGAGAGGCTGTTCATTTAATCCGGACGCTATACTCGATTACGCATTTTTAACCGAATACATTCCATCAAGTCACTCCAGAAGTCCACCAGAATTCACCACGACAACCTCAACCAAGCTGTTATTTAATGGTAACATCATCTCCAATGGAAAAAACTCCTGGAAATCTTCCTAACGAAATTACTCCAATACCTTTAATGTCATCTGTGACGTTGTAATGTCGCGCCAATCACCAGGCCCCAAAGGGTTAATGAAATAAATAACATTACAGAACTTAAGAATAGGACGTTGGCTAAAAACTAAAAAACAGTTACAGTACCAAAATAAATTTAATGTTTACAAATAATCGATTTATTTCTTTAACTTACTAGTCAATATATCCCGTACAAAAGAAAACGAATTATTGTTTTTAGTTGCCCAATCTGCTGGCGGTACAGTAGGGTGGAGTGAATTTTTTTAAATTTATTAATTGATTTTTCCTATATTATTAATTGTTGACTAAAGGCGTAAAATGAATAAATATCGAAAAAATATTCCAATTTTTTAATATCTTAAGGTGGCGCATCTGTCTCGAAGTTTTGAAAATTCTAAAAAAATATTACTTTAATCAAAGTAATAAAAATAGCATTATTTATAAATAAAAAGTTTATTTTAGTAAAATTAACGTGAAACGTAAACATATTTAATAGTAAATCATATGCTTTAAGTAACTTCAGGAGTGTTTATTGGTAGAAATGAGATCTTCTTTTTCGCGAAAATACTGACATTTGGTATCAAAATTTGGTAATTATTTTCTGACTTTAATTCTTGTTCTGATGAAACCATTTCTTGCTTCCGATCCACAAACCGAGACTGAAGATTCAGTATACTGGTTATAACCAGTTTTACACAACGTTCCACTGCTTGGGTGTGACACTGAAATTTTTGGAAGTATAGGAAATGGTCACCCGAAGAAATCATATCGGTAATTTCTGTCATCGTATTTCATAGTCATAGGTGGTTCAGTCACCTTTTCTGTCGCCCAGTGAATTAACTGGTACAAACGTAATGCTTTAGTATTTAGTTGTGGAAGCTTTAATTCCCGTAATCTCGAACATTTTGATTCTTTTCTCGCCTTTAATATTTTCGGCAATGCTAGTTCTCTGATCGATAGATAACATAGCAAGTACACTCTTAGAAAAGACCTGGTATTTGTAACTAACTTATTATCGTTGGGGTAAAACTGTTGCAGAAAATAAATTTTTTTGTTTTTTGTAATCAGTACCTTTATATGTGTAACTGCTTGCATCATTACCTGAAAAGATTTAGTTTTGTTGTTGAGTATTATTTACTGCAAAAAGGCGATTAAGTTATTTTAACTGAAACTTTGTGTTGGCTAGAAGTATTGACAACATTATCTCAAAAAAATCATTTCGGCGGTAAAATGTTTTTGTTGGACCAAATATTTAAGTAACATTCTCAACTGACTGAAATTAGTCCGTGGAACTAACGGTTCGGTTGTATAA